AACCATCTAGGCGGTTCCGTCTCCCTGCGGCGGGGGGGCGCGGTCCGGAAGTCCATCCTTAGGAGAGAATGGTCTGACCATGACAAGGGCTCAATAACTATTTCCCCTAATGTCAGATCACTCTGCCACTGGCCCGAGACAAAAATAAGATCCAGCGTGTGTCCGCCCGTGTGGGTGGGGGCCTGAATTAACTGGGTCAGGTCCAAGGCCGTCATGGAAGCCAAGAACTCCCGGGCTGCCGCCGACGTCTCACCCACTGATGGCAGGTTGAAATCCCCCAAGACCATAAGTCTGGGGGTCCCCACCGCCACCCCGGCTATCACGTCGGCCAGCTCAGGCAGGGCTGTTGATACATAGCAGGGAGCCAGGTATATAATCAACAAGCCCACTTGCACCCCTTTCCCCCACTTCACAAAGAGCGACTCCACGCTGTCTATCTGAGGCACAGTGGTCTCCCTTGGACAAAGGCTCTCCCTTATAATGGCCGCTACCCCCCCGCCCCTACCCCGGGTCCTTGGCTGATGGAATGCCTGAAAACCCGGCGGGCAGATGTCTACTAGTGGAACTCCACCCTCTACGCCCAGCCAGGTCTCAGTAATACCTGCCAGGTCCGCGCCCCCCTCCAGAATAAGATCCTGTATGAGGGGGGCCTTGTTTACCACGGACCTGGCATTACATAGCATCAGCCGAAGGTCCCGGGCCGGAGGGTCTAAGTCTCCCGGAAACCGAGTGGAGACCTGAGGACCGGAGCACCCACAAGCTTGTAAGTAGCGTGTGCGTGCTCCCCTAACCTGATATGGTCCTCTGCTCCCGCCATATCTGCCTCTCCCACTGACCGTACTAATTCTTCCCTCCTCCTTCAATCCCCCACCCTCTCCCCCCACCCTTTCTCCCTCGCAACCCCCAGACATGGCTGGTCCTGACCTAAGGGGAGCCTCCCCCCTCCCATCCACCCTGGTTCCCCCTAAAAATTTATTAAAACACCCCTGTAAAAACGTTCTTAACTTAAATAATTTGGATAGTTTTTTGTCCGTGACCACTGCATGC